TTACTTTCCCCACGACTCCATAAGCTACAAGGGCCCACTCCTACTTATCTAATCTATAATTTTAACTATGTCAACACTCCACCACAGTCTCCTACTCTCTGCATTCAAACTTTATAGATTGAAAGAGTGGAAGAGGGTAATAAAAGGAGAGAGAAAAATAGAATGGATGGAATCGAAAGGGGTCATGCCTTTTGTCTAATTTTTGGAAGCCTTTTTGGTGAACCTCTTCCCAAAGCAACTGACCTTTGCACACTCAGAGATAGGAAGAGGAGGATGGACGAAAATGGGGGCACTTTTTGACATTTTGGAGCTTTTAGAGAGAAAAGGTCCAAGAACGAAGAAGATGGTGCAAGAGAGAGAAAGCTAGGTTTTTACATTTTTCTTCACCATTTTCATTCTTGTAAGCTTCAATTCACATATAATCCTTCTTTCTAGCACATTAATCTCATTTATTTGAAGTTTTATTTGAGTTTGGCTAAGGTTCTCTAGTTCTATTGTTGCATTTGGGTATTTTTATCTTTAAGCTCTACATCTTAATTTTGAATGCCATTTCCTTTGTAGTTTAAACTCTTTCTTACATTAATACAAGTTCAAGTTTGATTTCATTACCATGTTTTTCTCTTTCATGTTTATTCTTGCCTTTATCATGTATAGCTAAGCCTTTAGTTGGCTAATCCAAGAGGGATTTTCTCTTGGGGTATGTGTAATCAATTCTCTTTCATGTTTTCTCGTAGTGTAAAGTGTTTGGTTTGGCTAGGTTGAGTGTGGATGAATGTGGTTGTAGGCTTTTGATACACTGTAGACTTGTCATGGGGTATGCGTTTGTCCAAGCAACTGTGTTCATCTCTCGCTTCCTATGAATCGATCAAATACCTAGGCACCATTGGTAGAATGAAATTAATTGATTTGGCATACCCATTGCAATGAACTCCATGGATTAACCAATCCTTTTTCTACTAGAAATTCCTCAAAACACAAACAACCAAACTTCAAATCACAATATTTTTCATTTTTCCTTTTCACAAATCACTTTTGAAAACAGTTGAATTATTCTTCCCTAAGGAGTCGACCTTTGAATACCATTCCAAGTAAAACACAACACTATAAATCTCCCTACGCTTGGGGAGCATTTTTGCATACTCATACACATTTTTGTTTATCCACACACAATTTCCCTACTTCTTGTACGAGCTTGAGTGAGAGTGGCACTCACCCTTCATATAAGTCATACACATAATCGGGTTCATATGGGAAGCAAAAGAAATAATCCAAGCATGGAGTTTTGAGCCTAGAGATGCACATGCGACTACATTAGGGAATATTGGGAGAAGATTGTGGTGCATCAAGCATATACTGAAAGGGAAGAAGAAGAAGGTAGGTAGCCCAGATTCACATGACAGTGATAAGCATGAGGATCACCCAAGAGATGGTGTAGGAGGTGGTGATGATAATGATGGTGGTGGAGGTAATGCAATTACTGATGATGTTGGATGCTTAGATACACTTAGGACTTTATAGGAGCTTAAGAGCTTTATTTGTTCATTAACCATTGTTTACGTAACTCTTGTTTTCTTTGTTTTGTGGCATTCATTCAGTCTTTGTGTTTTCATTTGTTGGATATTGTTTTTGACTAGGATGTTATGTGCCCTAATTTGGCCTTTTTATGACTAGATATTATTTTTGATTAGGATGTTATATGCCATGTTATTTTTGATGACTAGATTAAGGGATTAGTTGAATAGAGGATAAATAGGGGGAGTTTTGATGTAACTACTCATAGGGAGTAGTTTTACAAACTTGGCATGAAGTCACATGTTTTTCACTTGCTATGTTTTTCATTTGTTAATTTTATAATTGTTTGTTTTTCACTTATTATTTACGTTTGTATAGTACTAACTATGGAGGGGACTAGTTTGGTGAGCTAATGTTATTTGAGTGTTGAGATTAGTTTACAATTCAATTTGTTTCATTGTGGCTTTCGAGTTGTAATTATTGAATTTCTTACTCATGAATTTTATCACGGAATTGTGAAAGGGAAAGATTGTTAGGAAATTGCTTATTATAATTGGCTAATTCTATGAATTCACAATGTAAATCTCAACTAGATCGATGGTCATCAGGCTACAAAGAGAAAGATTCACTAGAAAAAGGAAGGAGTCCAAGCTACAAAGCTACGTCATGAAGACCTCCTAAGATCCTTTAGTGTTCAGGAAAGGTAAAGACCTGAGAAATCTTATAGGTTTAAATTAACTAGATTTAGTATGGTTCCATACATGGCTCATAGGACTTATATTGAAAATACTTTTGAAATTTTAAATGTTGTTTTGGAAACATAGATTGAGACATAGTTCGGACCCCAATTGAGAAACACCCCTTAGTGTTCAATAAGGCAAGTTGTTTGCTTGGTTTTAGGCACTAAAATAAGTAGAAATTGCCCTCTACTCACTAGCCTACGGCTTGAGTGGTCTTTTAACACTTAGGAAAAATTTAGAAAAAGACTGAACAGTTAGATAGCGGAGACGACTCTCTAGTAGCTCGAGCGACTAGTAGACGACTCAAGCAGCCTAACCACCGCTCGAGCCCTAACCATCTAACTTGGATTTGATCCTCTACTCGTTCCAGTTACATCAAAACTCCCCCTATGAGTTTTTTGGAGGACAAACCCTAGAATCCTTGGGCATCCGAATGACCAAATCTACCTTGATTAATCTCATATTTGAACTTCAAATCAAGAAGAATAGAGAGATCTTGTAGAAACCCACCAAATCCACATCGGTATATGAAAGAGATCAAGTAGATTTTTGGAGGAGTCCTTGAAGATCGAAAGAGGAGCAGTCAGATCATGGAACTCGATTTGCCCTTTGAAACTAGTACTCAAGACCTTGCGGTGGCAATTTCGAAAAGAAGATTCAAGGAGGAAAGCATCTAACCATGGTCTTGATTGAAGTATAAGACTTTGGACCTTTTAATCTTATTTTGAGTATAGTGGATTAGGTTAGGTGGACCGAGAGTGGTCCTGTGGTTTTTCTTGAGAAGATTTTCATCTTAAAATTGTCTTATGTTATGGTTGTTTTTTATTTACATATTTTGCACACACACACATGCAATTGTTCACCCCCCCCCCCCCCCATGTGTTTGATGATATATTTACTTGATTGTTGAATCTTGTATTATCATCGTTGTGGTTTGCTAATCGGTTTAAGGGCTTGGGGGTATAAGGATGGTGGATTTGCATTAAGTGATTGTTGATTGTTGAATTGGGCATTCTTGCATCCACTCATTCAATTGAGGGTTTGTTCATTGCTAAAAAAGTTCATCAATCTTAAATTCATACATTCATTAATAATTGTGATTGAAAGGTCTAAATTGGTGCAAGTTTCCGCGAGAATTGTACAAGACCTATTCCTCCTCCTCTTACGTCATGCTTGTGTGATCCCACGTATATAATGCTGTCGCAACGATTGAACTACATTTCTCCATGTTGACTACTAGACTAAGGTTGTAGACCTGAAACTCAGACATTATCAACCACCTGAACAATAGTTTGGTAGGTCACTCAACATTAACACTCTCCTCCACCCTTCTAGATCAGCTTACCCTATCAAAACTGTGGTCTCCGTGGATGGCTATTCAACACGGCTATTGTCTGTAATCTTGAAAGCTGATTCAATAATCAAATCAAGACCCAATTATATTAAATGTGACTCACAAAATTCGGTAGTCAACATAATACCCAATAGACAGGTTGGAATTGATGAACAGACTAAGATTTGGGAATATTAATGGCATAAAATAATACTCGGTACAGTTCCTTATTATGGGTCAAAAGATTTTATTTTAAAGCGGCAAATGAATTAAAATAAAAAAATCTGATATTGTTTTTCTCAGCTGCAACCTCGGAAGTAATACTGGCTTTGCCCATTAGCCGAAAGCATAGCAAACAGATGTCTTAAGGTGGACCAACAAAGTGGACGGTACTCAGTTAAGAGTGGCTAAAATTTTTCAATAGTATTATTCTGGATAAACCCTGGGAAATCATATGAAATTCCCAAGTCCCTCCTAAAATAGGGATGTTTATTTGGAAAATAATTTCAGGATCTGGAACCTGTGAAAGAGAAAATGCAGCAATTCCAATGTCTCCAACTTGTCGTAGTAAAGAAGAAACAGTGGGCCATATGTTTTTATGCTCATGGGCTGCTAAAGTTAGAAAATAATTTATTCTAAAGTTTTGTATTGTTAAATAAGAGTAATGCTATATATCTCAAATTTGTATTTCAAATGTGTATTCCAAATCAATAAGGATGGTTGGATCAGTGGGTCCCAATTAAAAAAATTAATAGAATTCACTCATCCAATGATCCCACTCATTTGGTATGCAAAATTTGAATTACAAATTTGAATTACATAGTACTTCCCGTTAAGAAGATTTGTTTTGTGCCTGTATTTGATTATTTGCAACATAATTATTCCAGGAAAGGGGAAGAAAAAGAATAAATGGGTTTATCATTATTAATATTCAAAACGTAGACGTGCAATATACGAAGCTATGATTTGATTGTAAGGTAAAGGCAAAGTGACAGTACTAACATTAGGACTGTAAAAGAACCAAGGAGTTAAACAAATAGCTTAAGATTGATCGTATTGAAACTTGTTCAAGTTTGCTCATCTGTAAAACAAATAGTGCTCAAGCCCTATTTTAGAGGCTGTTCAGTCAACAATCCAAACTTAAACAATGTCTTATCCTGCTCAATGTTCAACAATCTTGACTTCCAACTAGGCTCGTTTAATATGTAATTTATTCATACATATTATATATGTAGAGATGACTACATAAAAAATTATAAATTTGTACGAAGTTTATACGTGTATAAATGTAAACAAATCAAACTTGATATTCAACACAAGCTTAGGCTCAAAGTCAAAGTTGTCTTCAATTCGTTTAATCAAGGCAAGCTCAATTCATTAATTAAACGGCCACCAAAATCGAACATCTTTCACAAATGAACGAGCAAAGCCTAAGGTCTCTTGCTCAGCTCGGCTTGGTTCAGGGGCAACCTTGGACTCCGATGGTGCTTTCCCAAGGGAAACGTAACAAAGATGTGCATGATATTGTGGCTAGAGAAAAATATTTTTTTTTTTGGTCTGCCACTACTACAGGGGAGGGAGATTATGGTAAAACATCCCATTCTCCTCTTGTAACAGAAAACTAGTCAATCTGACAAGCTTGCCATGTTGCTAAAGCATAATGGTATGGTTCAGCAAACATTGAATATGATCAAAGGAAAGTGTGGATTCTATACAAATTGAGTAACTATGAAACATTACAGATCGAAGCAAGTCAGCGATATCTGACAACTCTCAAAACACTTTGCCGCTTTCAAGTTACAAGCCACCAAAAGAGAATGTAACTGTGCAGCTCATTGGCAACTCAAAGGATAAGAGGCAATCTTCCTGTGAATGGGATTCCAGCCTCACTCAATTCCAAGACTTCTTCACTGAGGCTTGTAGAATTGCTCTAGCCGTTAAGTGTTGTATTCTGAATTTGTTTTAGTTTTGCGAACTCTCCTGTAATTTCTTTGTTTAGCAACGAATGCTGACCAAAGTCTAAAGGAGTTAACAATCCTTCTCTTGGACCATGGCCAACTCCCACCTGCAATGATCATCAGCATGCACCCTACTTTAATCCCAAGACAACTTCCATGAACTGTTTCCTTCAACAACCCAATGCACCAATACCCTTCAAAAACCTTTGCACAAAGATGATATTCATTCAGGCTTTCTATTGGTATCCCAGCAAACCAAAACTTGCCCCCTCCCAAAGGAAATTGACTTTGACACAAACAATGCAGCCATCAACCAAACAACTAACACCAATGTGTACTTCGGAATCAGTCTAAATGTCATGGATATTGCATGCGAAAAAGTCCTTCCTGGGATCCAAGCCATGGTCCCCAATAATAATTTTGCCCATGATCCCCACAGTCATGCATTTCATCCTCCACTCCCAGAAGCCCTGTCAAGAAGTTGTAAAGAGATTATCTTCTTAAAGGGACAAGTGATACAAATGAAAGACTCCTTCCCAAAAGTAATAGTCATTTATGGGAACCTAACTTCTTAAGGGCACTGAAAATATGTTTCATTGCAGTGAACAGTGATGACTACCAATTGTATCCACTTTTTGATTTTACCTTTTCAGATCATATCTAATAGGCTCTCTTTTCCTTCTCAGTTCTTTTATTAGGAGAGTCAACAAGTTAAAATAGAGACTCAATTTGACTCTCCACATTATGAGAGGCGAACTGAAACTCTAGTTTATCAACATTGAATGCAACAATGGCATATGTACCTTTTTCATAAAATACCATTTACTGTAAAGGCTATTTCTCAACTACAATAGAAGTCCGATTGGAGTTGTATACAAAATGTTCCTCAATATTTTAATTTTTTTTATCAAAAATATTCTCTATTTTAGAAAAATACTCTGTAAAATATAGAACATTAATGCAGATTCTCTCAGAGAACTGCCTGCCAAAATGATTTTTTTCTAAATTTTGTTCCAAAAAGGTAGATTTGGAATGCTCCAAAAATTGTAGGCTGACTTTCCAAAATGGACCTATATTTCGGGACATGCCACAATGGAAAGATGGCTAGTAATATTGGAAAGGAAGGACTAAACATATCGTGATATTCATGGTAAGATTCAGCAAGTGATTGACACCTTGATTTCTCGGCCAGCACACTATTGATGGGACAGAATTCATGAATTTATCCTCAAAGAGAATTTGACCAGACTTGATATTCCAAATACGTAAATAGTAGTCCTCCCCACCTAAAGGCAAATACATGAATTACATGAGCTCAAATCTCCAAAAGAAGTAAAATGCACTGAATCTATGCGACCATGTACCTGAAATGACCATCCTCTCTGCAGGGTCAACTCCAAGCTGTATGCGAGTATGACTATTAACATTCCCCTCATAAGATTGTACAGCCCCTCTCTGGATCAGACGATGATCATAAAGCTTGATCTGCAAAGACACGAATGTGAAGCATCAACCCCCATATAACTGCTGCTTTGGGCTTACAACATACTTCAGACTTGTTTAAATGTAGTTGTGAATAACAATTTTTGGACTACAAATGCAACCAATGCAGAATTGGGTGGGGAGGGAAACGAAAAAAACAGAAAGGAAGTGGGGGATGGGGGGAACCTAGAGAGCATATCAGCAGTAAATGTGGGTTGACTTTCAATCAATGAATCAAGGATGTGACCAGATTAGAACCACTACCTCAATCAGCAGGAAAGACATACTCGCTTATAACCATTTCTTATGCAACTCCAAGTCATTACCAAGAAACAAAAAACATACAGCAAAAATATTTCTCTCAAGTTCAAAATAAGAAGAAATTTTGTGGGGATGAAAAGAGAGGGTGCAGGTGACTTATCTAGAGGACATGTGAGCAGCAGTAAATATAGGTTGGCATTCAATTAGAAAATCAGGATGTGTCCAACAGTAGAAGCTCTAGCTCAGGCAGCAGTAAAGGTCACAGTCAGTTACGACTAATTTCTTATGCAACTAAAAGCCATTAGCCAAAAAAGAAAAGGAAGAGATTATTGAGCATACAGCAAAAATACTTCTCTCGACTTCAAAATAAGAAGAAATTTGTTGAGGAAGATCCAGATTTGAACAAAGGGGATGTGGATGTCCTATTGAAGGTAGTATCATTTTATTGTCCACTCAACAGCATTGAAAATAGTTCACAGCTATTTGGATATCACAATACTCAAGACCCATATAAGCTGCTACATAGATAGGCTTTTATTGATAATTGATCAGTAACAAATCGAATATCTGTTGGGTTTTTACAAATAGGAATGCATCTCTTTCAATCAAAGTTGCCAATACTGCGACCAAGGGCTACTACCCATGTAGGGTCTCTAGGTGGTCATGCATAGAAGAGGTGAATGTCAACATGCCAAAAAAGATAATGTCCCCTTTCCCTGCCATTAGTGTAAATTACGCTTTGTAGTACCAAAAGCCATGCAGCTGAATTGATCTGAACAATGCCCAGGGAAAAACTGGAGGGAGAAACAAATTATGACAAAAAGAAGCTGTGGAGACTGGTAATGGCCAAGCTGTCTGCGCTGCTTGAAGCCAGTTTTGACTCCCCATTCCATCTAAAACTCAAATTATTGCGTATTTGCTCTTTATACCAGCTGCTAGCCCAGCAGCAACAGTGGAAAAAGGATGATGGTGAAAACTCAAATGAGATGCAAGGCATTGAAGTAAGACGGCAAAAACCCAATGATGACGATGGGCATGAAATATGGCGTTCACAGTTTAGCAACAGCAAGGGTTGCTGATAGTAACTATGGTGACAATGTAGAAGGTTGGTCCACCAGTAGTGATGACCGCGATGATGGTGATGACTTACTGACAATGAAAGAGTTGATGAGTGCACAGATTAGCAACAGTGGCGTGAGACTCACTGGTGATGACAATAAGAAGCAATGATCAATCGAAGTTGGGAGAAGAGAAAATGCTCATCGAGAGAGAGAGAGAGAGAGATAAACTCAAGGAGAAAAAATCCATGTTCAAGTTTTAAGTCAACAACCAAGTCTGGGGAAACCCATTACATATAAGACCTGTTAATATGTCTTGATCCTAGGTCTTTATGGAGAGTTCTTTAGTGTGCCCATTTTTCTTAGTAATAACTTAATAACAGGCAAAGAAATAAAATATAGGGAAAATATTAAAGTTTCTAAATAAACAAAACAAAGCCAATAAATCCTATATTAAAAAATACAATAAAAGTAAATCCCTAAACCCTAACCAGTGATTTGAATTTCATCCAATCTCTTTTCTTTCCCGTCAACAAGATTATAGAGCCACTTTAGGTATTAATCAATCATGACAATGGACTCATTTCAAGTCATAATCAAATTCCATGAAGTCTCAAACCTTTCCCATTTATTACATTTATGTACAAAGAAATTTATGTACAAGAGATGGGGAGTTTGTATTGCAAATAAATTTTTGCATGGCACGGGCAGCTCGAGACATTTTGAGGCCTAAAATGGCAACTATAAATGAGGCATTTTATTTATTTTTCATAGTCAAGTTTCTGCCACAAACTAAACAATTCAAGATAATACTCAACAAGAGATCCGTCTTTCTGATCTAACTCACGAATCTTCTTTGTCAGTTCATAGACCTGTATATTATTACCAATTTGTAAGTATGCCTGTGCAACTGCAGAATAAATCTTTTGTGTTGTGCCTATCAACAACAAAATGCAACTAATAGACGGTTGCATTGAGTTAATCAGGCAAGTCATAGCAAGCACATTCTATGATTGCCATTTCTCCCACGAAGGTCTTATCCGTCATGGGATCCTTAAGAGTTCCTGTGATGTAACCAATTAGGCCACGTGCAATAATAACCAAAATTGCAAGATCATGACCAGATCATATAGTCAGTGCCATCTAACTTAATAGACTAATCTAAAGTGATGGGCTATCTCCAAGAATCTCAACACGACTCAACTCATTCGCCCCACTGCCACCATTACTATTGGTGTCATGTCTACCGAACAAGGATAACACCCCCAAATATCAAACAACTTGTTCACACACCTACAAACCCACAAAGCCCAAGGAATCCTTGCAATGAGTAAGTTACCCACACAATAAAAACTAAAAAACAGGACCAAATTAAATCAAAAAAAATGTTTAAAGGGTACAAAAGTTGTTATTTTGGGAAAACAAATGCAAGAAACACTGTAGATTTGGTCAAAGAACCATGAAAATGGATGAAACAATAATTGGATAAGGGAAAGAAGGTAGTCTCAAATACCAAGGGAGCTACTCCAATCATCAGATTAAATTAAAAAACCCAAAATAAGCAATTTTGGAAAAATAAACTAAAAAATCTAAAAAATAAAAAAAGAAATAGAAAAATATATCAAATAAACTTCAAAAAAATTGAGAATTTTTCTAGGAGTATATGAACCCTAATTGATCACACTTAAATTTTTTCGATTTTTTTTAGGATTCAGCCATAAAAGGGCAAAATAAACTATGGGAGGAAGAAACAAGATTTACGTTACTGAGAAACTAGAAAATAAAAATAATATCAACTTGCGACAGATCTAGCTTTGATACCATTTTAGAATACAAAAAAAAAGAAACAAGGAAAAGATGTAGAGAGGAAGAGAGAGTTTTGAGAATGTAGTGGTTGTGGAGAGAAAGTCCCATGAATTAGATTAGGGTTATATCTCTTAACCCTGTACATTTATAATAATAAGACTCAAAAGTACATAAATATCCCTGATAACATATAAGACATCTCTTAACAGATCATCCTCACTACTCTGAGGGAGGTTTGATTGATGAATAAGCTTGATCACCAATTGCCATTGCGTCAGTAAATTCGACCCTATTTCTCATAATATGGAAAAAAAAAATTCTTTAACTATCGAGCATGCTAATTGACTATAAATCAAGGAATATGATTAAAACTAACATTGGCACTTTATTTAAAAATATGG